GCTTTCCCCTGCCCTTAAGTTCCTAGTTTGGCAATTATTCTATCTACTATAATTCTGATTGTTGCTATTCTCTTAGTAGACTGCAGACTCCATCAGGGCAAGAAACTCACTATTTGACCATTGACCTCATAAATCCAATATAGCTATAAAATATAGTACTTAAGCAGTGATTGCTGAATAAATGCATTTTGAAAAAGCAAATTATTATTCTTATGGTCAACCTGGCCAGGAAATAAAGCTTCTTCACTTGGGCATCAAAATTTAGTACACACAGGATGAATTATATTTGCTGTAGAAATGTAGAGAAAAGAGGAAGAATGTAATGGAAGTATTTGGAGGATAGTAGGAACAACTGATAAAAATAAGTATGAAAGACTCATCATTTTGCATAATAAATTTACTTCTTCATTACACAGAGTGAATTATGCCAGAATATGCCTTTCAAATTTCTTTTTTTTAAGTTTTGTCTCTTTATTCTAATTCCAGTGTACTATATATAGAAGGAAATATGTCAGGTTTCTGTTTACTTCTTTTCTTTTTAAAAAAAATTTTATTGTAAAAATGTGGGGTACAATTCAGGGTTAGGCATACAAACATTGATCATGCAAGTACCCCTGTTAATGAGATATGCCCCTCCCTCCCCTAGTAATTTCCCTCAACTGCCAATCCCACCCTCCCACCAACAGTTTCCCATTACTGCCAATCGCTTTCTTATAGCATTATAATAGTTCAAGGTCATCTTATGAGTGAGAACATATGGAACTCTGTTCTTTGTTTCTGTGATAAATCACTGAGTATGATGGACTCCAAATCCATACAGGTTGCTGCAAAGTCCATATATTTGTCGTTCTTTATGGCTGCATAATATTCCATTGTGTATCTATAATATTCCATTGTGTATCTGTCTGTGAGTGTCCTTTCTGGTGAGATGAGTCTCTTGGAGACAATATATTGTTGCCTCATGATATTTTATCCATTTTGCCATTCTGTATCATTTTAGTGGTGCATTTAGTCCATTCACATTCAGGCTAATTATTGAAATGTGAGGGTTTATCTTTATCATGATGTTCTTATAGAGTTGTTGTTGTACTTGTTTGCTTGTTGTCTTTCTTTTGGTTTTTGGGGTTGGTTCATGTATGTTTTCAATCATTTTCCTGTACTCTTGTGAATAACATTGCTTCCCCCCCCTTTTTTGTGTTTAATGTTTTCTTAAGAGTTTCTTGTAGGGGTGCTCTGGGAGCAGCATAAGTTCTTAGGGATTTGGTGTCTGGGAAAGATTATAATTCTCCCTCACAGATGAAACTTAGCTTGTCTGTGTAGCTTATGCTTGGTTGAAATTGTTTATCTTTGAGAACTTTGAATATTGGACTCCAAGTTCTCCTAACTTGAAGTGTTTCTGTAGATAAATCTGCTTTGGTCTAACCTGATAGATAGTCTGACCTTTTTCTCTTGCTGCTTTTAGGATTTTTTCTTTTATACCTACTTTGTTCAGGCAGATTATTCTGTACCGAGGAGTTGGTCTTCTCATTTATTGTCTTGCTAGGGTTCTCTGAATTTCTCGTGTTTGAATTTTCACATCATTAATGAGGTGAGGAAAGTTTTCTTGAATAATTTCATGGAATGTTTGTTCCAGGGTGGTCTCTGTCTCTCTTTCTGCCCCAGGAAGGTCAAACACTCTGGTTCATTCTTTTGAAGGAATCGCTTATCTCATCTCTTTATTTCATTCACTGTATTCTTTTCTACCTTTATCTCAGTTATCAACTCCTTCCTATTTTCCTCTTGTCTCTCCTCCCTTTTTAAATTCTCTCTACTAATGTCTTGATATCTGGGTTTGTAGTATGTGACCAGTTATTCTGGGGGCTCTTCATTGTTTGCATTCCGAAGTCTATTTTCTCAGTATCTGATCTCCCAGGGGTCTGCTGAGACCTATATTCTTCTCTTGATTTTTCTTCATTTGTGTAGATTTGCCTCCCCATTTTTTCCTTTTTTTTTTCTCCCTCTGTTTTCTTTAAATCTGTTGTTCAGGGGTGGTGGGGTTGCTTTTTTCTTCTGTTTGCTCAATCTCCTATTTTTTCTTATGTGAATCTTTTGGCTTTTTTCAATTCTAAGTCTGGCTTGTAGGTTGAGGGTTGTACCTTTTGCAGCTTTGAGAGTTATTTGAAGGGGGGCTGGGATTCAAAATTTATCTGCAGATCCCAGTATCCATTGACCGGTGTATGGATATGCTGGATCTTGCTTCTCACTGCCTTGTAATCTGTTCATGAAGTGGGGGTATTGAATTGCTTCCTGAAAGTAAAATGATGTAAGAAAAGGGAAATAAATGGAACGGGGAGGGGGAAGCAGAAGGTGGAGACAGAAGAGTAAAAGGGAGAACAGACAGAGGTACCCCCTAATAAATGAAAATAGACCTGAAGACAGATAAGAGTAAGAGAAAACAAAAAGAAAAACAAAAAACAATAGCAACAACAACAAACTAGAACATACAATCATACAGACCAACCTCCTTAAGATGTACTGTTCCCTTACACAACCATGAGGTCTTAGTTCCCAAGTTGAAGATGAGGCAGAGCTGCGAGGATGAGTCACTGCAGGTCTCTGCTTGGTCACAGGGCTCCAGATGATCCCAGGTTCTACTGCAGCTGGATCCAGCTGCGGAGGGGGGGGGCGGGCAGAGTGCGAGGCAGCCAGGTGTTGCAGGTCGGCATGTCACATTGCGGCTTGGGCCTATTTTCTTTCTTTGTTCTTAGGCTGGAGGATGCACAGAGCTTGGTGGAGCTCATGGGGCAATGCAGGTCTTTCCCTGGTCTCCAGCTCCAGCTGTTCTCCTGTCCCGCTATGGTCAGGGGTGAGTCGGGGGAGACTGAATGCAAGACTGCTGGGCGTTGCTGATCAGTGTAGTGGTCAGGGTAGCTGGAGGGTGGGGTGATGTAGCCAACAAGGGAGCCTGTAGCTCCACGGGGAAGGAATCCTGGGCCTCCCTGGGTGGTGGCTTGAGGCAGGGTTGGGCACTGCAGCTGGGGAGGGAGCCTGGATTTCTGTGGGTGGCAGCGACTTGGGACAGGGTGGGTGCTTAGGTCCCGGAGGGGGCCTCGAGCTCCAAGGGGCATACACTGAGAGCCTCCATGAGAAGGCGGCAGCAGCTTGAGGCAAGGCTGGGAGCTAATGCCAGGGAGATGGCCCGGGGCTCCGAGGGGTAACACTGAGGGCCTCCGTGGGCGGCAGCAGCTTAGGGCCTGATGAGGCACTCCAGTGAAGGACAGAGCTCATTTCTCCGAGGGGTGGGCGCCAAGGGCCTCCGCTGGGGTGGTGGCTTGAGATGGGGCTGGGCACCTCAGCCAGGTAGGAGGCCCAGAGTTCCAAGGGGCGGTGCTGAGGACCTGCGTGGGTGGTGGTGACTTTGGACCTGGTAGGGAAGCCCATAGCTCCGAGGTGCGGGTGCATAGGGGACCTCTGCGGGGTGGCGGCTTGAGGTGGGGCTGGACGCTTCAATCCGGGTGAAGTCCCAGAGCTCCGATATGCGGGGGCCGGAGAGCCTGCATAGGCTGCAGCATCCTTGGGCCTGGTGGGGTGCCCCAGCCGGAGATGGAGCCCGCAGCTCTGAAGGGTGGGCGCCTACGGCCTCCCTGGGCGACGGCAGCTTAAGATGGGGCTGGGTGCCTCAGCCAGGGCGGGGACCCAGAGCTCCGAGGGGCAGGCGCCGGCAGAGGCTTTGTGCCACACACAGGGCTCTTCAGCAGGGATGGGGACCGAGGGGCCGATGCCTAGGGCCTCCCTGGGCGATGGTGGCTTGAGATGGGACTGGGCACCTCAGCCAGGATGGGGACCTGGAGCTCCGAGGGGTGGTGCCAGTGGTGGCTTTGGGCCATGCGCGGGGCACTTCAGCCAAGGATAGAGCTGGAAGCTCCGAGGGGTGGGCGCGGAGGGCCTCTGCGAGAGGCGGCTGCCTGCGACAGGACTGGGCGCCCCAGCCAGGAAAGGAGCCGGCAACTGTGTAGCCAGCAAAGAAACCCACATCTCCACAAAGTGGCATCCGAGGGCCTCTACAGGTGGTGATAGCCTGGGGCCAGGTGAGGCAGTGTAGCTGGGGAGGGAGCCAGGAGGTCCACACGGCCATGGGCCCGAGGTGCTTGGGACGCCGCAGCCGTGACAGCAGGGCCACGGTAGCCGGGCGTTGCGGGCCCCAGCGTCTCCAGGCCTTGGACTGGTGCGGCTGGCCGGGGCGAGGGGTGAGGTGAGGGAAGCAAGAGTCTTTATGGGAACTCACTTTCAGAGAATCTCACAGTCCCACCCGTGCCATCGCCCTCTTACCAGACCCCCATTTCTTTTCAAACACTGTGAAGTTGATTGCTTTACTTTTCTCCATAAATGCTACTATTTTCTATTGACATAACGTTTTTTGTAAATTTTGCATTACTTATGAAAGAAGACATAGAAAAGTTAAAACTCTGTAGTGCCCATTTTACTTCTTGAGACCCTCATATGACTCAGAAATATTGTCTGGATATTCATTTGCGGGGCTGTCAAACCTAAACTCAAAATTCCTTGATAGTTACCGCCTTCCTTCTTTCCTTTCTAATTGTGGCTGAGTCGCTTGATTTTGTCTTTCACAGAAGAAACCCTAGCTCAGTTATTAATACAAAAAACAACACTGATCCTATCAAAATAAATTGACAAGGATGTTTAGTCATCCTTTAAAACCTTTCTAAATAAAATGAGCTGCTTGTTGTTGTTTGGTCCTAGGGGAGGTAAGTTTCAGGTATGCAAAAATAGAGAACTTGGAACTAAGATTCTGTTATAAACACATAACTATTGGCTTAATAAGGCTTAGTATCTAAATAGTAACAGCAATTTTTAAAAAATGGAATATTAAAACTGAGTTGAAAATGATTCTAGGAAAACATGTTTAAAGTTATTATTGGATGGTAGGGCTATGAGGCGGAGTTGGTCTTGGAGAAATGAGAACAGCAATAAAAAGGAAGTAAAAAAAAACCACATATACTTAGTTCCAGAAGACAGGACTGACCGGAGCATAAAAGCAAGATGAATGATGTGAAGCTTGCTGTCTTGGGTGGTGAAGGAACAGGAAAATCTGGTGAGTCATGATGTTTTCTGTGGTATGATATAAAGTAAAGAGATAGTGAGAAACATACTGACATGTTTACCATTAATAATGTAAATAACAACTATATATATGGATATACATATAACTAATTCTCTCAATAGGATGACAGCACTTTTTTTTTCATTATGAGTTTCATTTTTATAGGCAAGTGACTACATATTTATAGAATACATAGGTAAATGTAGCAAGAAAACTGAAATATTAATTTGCATCTTGTTCTACCGATGTTTAAAATTCATAGGAATAACAGAAAATCTCTTCATCACTATCCCACCTACTTCTTGTTCCAATCACCTGCCCCACACCCATAAACATGGGCCCTGAAAATACTCTTTTTGCTCTGAAACTACTGTTTTTGCTCTGAAACAAGAGTGGAGAAAGATGTTTGGAGTTTTGTGGATTATTTTTAAAATGCAGCTTTACTGTGGTGAAAGAACTTTGGAAGAGTGTGACTTTGTGGATACTCCAGAACTGGGCAATGTTTGCCCTAACCTTGGGAGTCATGTTTTTGTTTCGTTTTGCTTTGCTTTAGTTATATTTACATTATAATGGTAGAGAAGATGCCACCAATAGAGCTACTTGAACTTAATAAATCACAACACAGTAACTATCAAGAGACCCAGAAGCTGCAATAAGGTAAACTAATACCAGAGGTCCTTTCCTGATTTCTTGGATTTTTAAATCCTCAAATCCTTAAATGACTGCAAATGTCAACCAAATTGTGTCTCTGTCACTCTCATATGTAGTATCTTGGAGACAGATTTAATATGATAGAGAAATAGTTATCAAAGTTCTGGCTTCTCAAATATAATGAGAAATCTGTTTTTGTTACAAAAGATAAGTGACCTTATATTTTTGCATTCATGAATTAGCTACATGGTTATTTAAATGTGGAACACTCTAAGATCACTTTCTAATTTTCTTATCATATGGTTGTCTCACAGAAATATTGTTATTATTTAGCTCATTGCTTAGTAAAATTTTAAGATCTCCATTGATGCTGAGAAATTTTTGACCTGAGAGATAAACCTTATGTGTGTAACTAAATTATCTGTATTCTGAAATACAGACCATAAATGTAACTTGTTTGTTTTGCAGCCCTTACAGTAAGATTTCTTACCAAGAGATTCATTGGAGAATATGCTTCTAATTTTGGTAAGTCACCACTCTAGATAATTTTACCATGTAATTTTAGCACCAGAATTAAATCTCACTTAAAATCAAATAAGCATTTTGATAGAATCTTCCTTGTCTCCATTATGGAGCAATATATTTATTCATATATTCTTGTTAGAAATGTCAAAATAAGTACTTAAATTGAATATTATTTTATGATAAAATTTGTCCAATTTTATGCTGTTTGTTTAATTAGAAAGTCAATTAGTTTCAAAGTCTAGAACTAGAAAAACTTTAAACCTGGGATCTTCTCCCCAACAGTATTGTGAAGCATATTAGCCCAAAAAGCTTTTATAAGTTATGAAACAATTTTGAAATAAAATCAAAATGTGAAAAGATAAGGATAAATTAAAGCTGAAAGCACAAGTAACTACAAAATAAATCTTTTCTAGTTTCACTAATTCTACCACACATTTCTGTTATTTTGATTAGGATTATCATGATGTATGGGAAATATCACAGCACAAAATGTGAGAAATTTGTCACAAATTTGAGTATTTTTTTTTGCTTAGTAATTGAATAAATAATAAAATTTTACAAATTGTTCATTTCTGAGGGTAATGATCTCAGTTGAAAAGGTTGGGGTAACCTACAAGGCATAAGATAATGTCCTAGAAACAAAAATAAAACATAAATATAATATATAATTTTAATAACAATAACAACAACAAAACCTTGCCTTAATATTTTATACATTATAGATAAATAAATGAAATGTTTACACCTTTCTGACTGTTGCATATCACTCAAAAATCTAAGACCTCGAGACTTTTGGAAAGACAATCAACTGATCAAAAGCTCATCAACTCCAACAACAAACTATCAAAAATGACAATTAAAAAAAATGAAATCTAGAAGGGGAAATAATACAATACTAAAACACTGAAAATTGATGAGCCTTCAGGGCAATTTTTGAGATTCAAGAGTGAATATTTTTAAATAGCTAGAAGGAAATTTTATGGTTTGGAGTCAGTAGTAAATCTATGAAGTTTAGATGGAACTGTCTGAAAACATAATTTAAGGTTTGGTGAACCTATTATTTCATTAAGTGTAACCAGGAAGGAGTCAGTAGTCAACCCTAATCCTTGAGGGATGGAAAGCCATTACAGCAATTTGGTCAGATGGGTGACATGATCTGGCTACAAGGTTCACTTTTGCTTCTGTATTGAGAACACACTAGGGACAGGAAGGGAGTTAGAGGATGGATGAAAACAGAGTTATGATGTAAGAGGTTTTGTAATAATCTAGGCAAGTAATATTGTTATTTAGAGTAATATTAATGGAGATGATGACCCTCAGAAAAATTCAAAATATATATTGAAGGTAAAGTGAATAAGAAATTTTAATATAACATATATATGATATAAGTCAAAGCAAGAATCAAGGATGTGCTTAAGGCTTTACCTGAGAAACTGAAGCTTATGAGTATGCCATGTAACAAAATGGAAAATTGTGGAAGATGCAATCTTTGCAGGGAAATTAGAAGTTCAGTTTTAGGTGTGTTAATATGTCCATTAGGCATCTAAATGAAGATGTTCAATAACAAGTGGTTGTTTCCTGGAGTTCAGGAGGGAGGCCTGGACTATAGATATAAGTTGAGTTCAACAGAAATAATTGGCACATAAAGACTTGGAAGTAGATGTGATCAGAAAGAAAAGCTAGGTAGAGGAGGGATCTATGAACTGGGTCCATCTCTGAAGTGTAGGAAGACATGTGGGGGGGGGGGTGAACAAAAAAGATTAAGACAGAGAAACAAGAAATAAAGAAAAAAAAAACAAAACTGGAGAGTATGTTGCCTTGAAGGCCACTTAAAGTAAATATTTTAAAAGTGACCAAATATATTAATGCGACTGATAAAGCAAATAAGATCAAGACATAAAACTGACAGTTTAAAAACATTTAATTTAGGTTAAATTTGGTATGTTTGTAAGATGTTGGTAATGATATAGTAAAAAGACAAAAAAAAAAAAAGAACTATGATGCACAAGAGGGAAGCAGAATTGCTGTATCCATATCTTTCAATAGGTAGGAGAAAATCATGAATAGTTAGTGAATGGATTGGCTTTAGATAAGAACACAGATATTTCATACAGCAATAGGAAGAAATACAAGTATATAAATACAGAGACTTGCAGGTGGTTAAATATAGTGGTGAGGTTCATTTGTAAGAAGCAAATGAGGTTTTTGGTCACCAGCAATAAAAAAAAGCCACTGCTAAAATATGACTGGCTAAATTTTCCATACTGTGATTCAGATATGAGACCCTTTATTTATTCTGGGGTATTTTCATACTGATAATAGATATTCATATTTTTTTCAGAATCTATCTATAACAAGCATGTGTATTTGGAAGGGAAACAACTAAATCTAGAAATATATGACCCATGTTCTCAAGTAAGTAAATCAAAATATTCTTTTTTATTTTATTCTTTTTCAGTCATGATTTAAAGATTGAATAAGGATAAGTGAAAAGTTGCCAGTGTTACAATTGAAGTTTCTTCTTATTTTAATTATTAAAGTTTTAAAAAATTACTTTTATGTTGTGAATTCTATTATATGGTACTTCTGTATATTTATGTGAAGAATTATCATGTCACAAATATCTATAAATAGCAACATTAGGCTGTATTTGTAACATACTTGTATCAGGTCACAGTGTAGCTGTCAGAAGTTAACAGTTAAATGACTTAACAATGACATTTTAAAAATTTTTACTAAGTTACATTTGTAACTAACCAGTTGTTAATAGAGCACAAGTAAGAAAGATTTTGAGTACAAATCTCTGACAATCCCTGTGAAAAATAAAGGAGGATTATATAAATAAGAGAAGGAATAGTTTATTCAAAATTTCAATAAAATTCAAAGTGACAGATTATTTTAGGTAAGCAAAGTACACCTTAAATCTTTTTAGCTAAACCCTGTCAATATTTTTATTTTTTATTGATTTAAATACAGTAGCAAAAATCAATAGATATTCCATTTACTAACATGGATAGAAAATAGGTCTTTTTAACATGTAATCACTTTTAATTAAAGAGAAAGGGCGATTGAAAAGAGAAAAACAAAGAAACTGTGTTTTAGAGTATATCAGTATATGGCTTATTAAAGTCTTTTCCAGGTGAATGGGTCTCCATTAATTAACTGGGTAAAGTATAAAATACAGAAATCAGATCCTACTACTTTTAATGTATTTGATTTATTTTCAGCCACAGAAAGCAAAATTCTCTCTCACAAGTGAACTTCATTGGGCAGATGGGTTTGTTATTGTGTATGACATCAGTGATAGGTCTTCATTTGCTTTTGCAAAAGCACTGATATACAGAATTCGGGAGCCACAAACTAGCCATTGTAAAAGGTAAGATATTTCTCATTCCTTTTGCCTTTCTTTTTAGTAAATCATCATATAGCTGTAAGCATCATTAGGAAGAGTTTAGTACAGCCTTCCAATTACAAAATTTAACAACCCTGAACAATTCACCTTCCCATTCCATAGGAGTTACACTTGTAGTAAAAGGAATAAGATGAGAATGCTTTATATCCTGGCTGACATAAACAGTTACTCGCCCCGAGTAAATGGCTATTTTACAAGACTGCTTCTATTGTTAACATGACACTCACTTGCGAAATAATAGTCCTCTGTACACAAGATAGTTTGCTTTCCAACTCTTTCTTTTTTTTCTCACAAAAATGTTAAGGTTACTAAATAAATTCAGATTTATTACTTTTGTCATCCTATGAAAACCAATTCCTAGCCATTCGGTTATTCAATTTATCATCGCAAAATAGCCTGAATAGTCAAAATGTTTACAAATTCTAAGTATTAAAATACATTTTTCTTCATTTTACCTCTGAAAATAAGAGCTGAACAACAATTCCTGATTGTTAATTATTTTGACACAAAGAACTATGAGGGAAGACATGATTGTCCTTTAAGCCATTGTTGCATTAGAAAGTAAACATCTAAGCATCTGAATTTTCTATTTTTGTTTTCCCTATTTTTTGGTTGCTTTAGCCTTTTTCATTTAAGATTCATATTTTTGTTCAACATGCTGATGCAAAGGGTTTTTGTGCTTTATTCAGATTTGCCTTTAGAGTCTAAAATAACACCCAAATTTGGTAAGTAAAAAAAGATAATTGATAACTGGAAATTGGTGTATGTGCTTTGCCTACTGTAAAAAATCAAAAGATAATAATTGACAAAAAGTATTTCCCTGGAGTCAATTGACTTGCATTTTTGTTTACATTTGATTTACCTTAGGTAAACTATCTTAATCTCTTCTAAAGCTCATTATTTTAATTATGTAACTGATGGCAGCATGATAAGAGTAAAATATGTGATTATACTAAAGTACTTCATAGCTTTGATTTTCTATATTGCTGATACTTTAGAACTCCAATGTTTCAAGGATTAAATATCATTATATTTAAACATAATGTAAGTAAGGGACAAATACAATTTTTTAATATTCCTCCAAATCAAAATAATCACTCAGAAGACTTAAAAACATATCAAAATGTATAAAGGTATACTTGACATTTTTCAGGCAATCTTCTTGATTTGTTGATGAAATAATTTATAGATTATTTCTAGTTCTCAATCTGAGGAAAGTTGGGAAAGCAAAACATGGAACTGTTTTGTAAATTACATCTGGTATTTGTGGCTGACCCTTCAAAAATTTTCACAAACACTTTCTCATTTGCCCTTTGCAAGAGTTTCATGAACTAAGTTGAAAAATACATTATTAACAGCCCCCAAAGTTCAGGTCATACAGTGCTTTTTCTTTTACTTCTCACACTGTTAAGCGAATGAAACCAACTTTTCATGTAATCTGGACCAAATGAGAGCAGAAGACTCTGTGTTTAACCATTTCTTCCCTATAGCAGATGTCTTGCTAGACAGTCATGCCATTTAATGACTAGTAGTTGTGTTTTGTTCTTCAAATCAAACTCTATTTTTTGATTATTTCACTATAACCAAGGAGAATGTATGGATATTTGCAGAAGACATTTTATCTTAACAAAGAAAATTTTTTCTTATGCAGAAAAGCTGTAGAAGATCATGGATTGCAATTTTTTTTCTAGGGCATGTTATAATGGACATTAGCAAAGTAAAAACGGCAATGAATGTTGAATAATATTTTTGCTTAGGAAAATTATATCTAAATTGACTCTTCAAGTAAGCAATTGTATAAGTAAACAGATATTTGTTGGTTCTTCTCTTACAATTAATAAGGAACATAAAAAAGAATACTTAATAAGTATCTTTTATTGTCTGACACTGCGCCAGGTGTTTTTACATACATCATGTCATTTAATCTCTATGAGGATTTTATGTGAGAAAGAGTATCTTATTGTTTTTTACAGATAAGGAAACTGAAAGTGGGAAAGGTAACAATTATACTTGGTTAGTAAATAGAGTTAGTTTCAAGTCTGTGTCACCTAAAACCCCAGGCTTTAAGAGCTTTGTGGCTTCTGTGTCTTTTTTTTACGATATTATATCTAAAATAATTTTTTGTAAGTAAATAGGGATGTGTCATTTCACACACACAAGGCAACACACATACACAAGGTAACACACATACACAAAGTTTTTCTTTTCTTTTTTGATTCATAATTCTTTAAATATAAATCACTTAAAAATTGTTAAGATGAACTTGTCAAAAGTTGTGTGTTTGTATTTCAGAGCTGTGGAATCAGCGGTGTTTTTGGTTGGCAACAAACGAGATCTTTGTCATGTGCGAGAGGTTGGCTGGGAAGAAGGACAGAAGCTGGCACTGGATAACCGATGCCAATTCTGTGAATTGTCAGCAGCAGAGCAGACTCTGGAAGTAGAAATGATGTTTATCAGAATTATCAAGGACATCCTGACAAACTTCAAACTCAAAGAAAAGAGACGACCCAGTGGATCTAAATCAATGGCCAAATTAATCAACAATGTATTTGGAAAGAGAAGAAAATCTGTTTAGTAGACATGATTCTAGCAGATTTATCATATCAAAGAATTTCAAACATTCACATGATAATTAAATTAATTCTTTGTCTGCAATTTTTAAACAAAGAATTAACTTGGAGATATAAAATGATTGAGCATAAAACACAGCTGTATTTTCAACTAAATTGTCTGCCTTTTGGTAATTTGTAGCCTGTTCATTCTATATTTATTGTACAAAATTGCACTCACTATAACCTGTTGGCGAATAGCTATCTAGTTTTTCTTTTTAAATGATCTCTTCTTATGTAATTTTGTTCAACTATTATGCTATAGTTTGCAGTTTACCTTTATTTTATGTAGTCCTTTTGAATGAAATATATAGTTATATTTATACAGTTAATACATTATTGGGCTGAAGTTATCAATTTGTGAAAGTTTTAAATTTATTTAATAGAAATGCATGGATTTATTTATCTTTATAATAATTCAGTAAATTGCATAATGTTACAAATATTTTGTAATATAACTCAGGCACAAGCAGTTAAATTCCTTGTTTTAAGCATATATTTTGTAGTTTGTCTGTTGATGAAAAAAATCTACCTTCCTTTGTTGCATGTTTTGTTAGCAAGGGCTATTATCACAGATAAATTAAATTATACAGCTGAGATCCTTTTTAGATCAAAAGATTTAGAAACCTACACATCATAGGAAAGAAAAAAAAAGTAAAAACTGGTTTGCAAGTATATAACCTTAAAGGCTTTGTTACCATGAAATAAATATTTTTATATTAAGTGCAAACATTTTAGGCCTTCTCAGGTTACTTTGATTATCATAACCTTCCAAAGATGACTGTCTGCCTCTTAGATCACAGTATCACTGTTGCAGCCTTTGTGAAGCTTGGTCATGTTCTGTCTTTCAAGTTGAGACTCAAGGCCTAATTTTAGCCAAATTGTTGATAATGAAAGTTAGGTTTCAGACAAGTGAAACAGACAACAAACAATGACCCCCCCGCCCCCCTCCCACACTTGGTTAATAAGTATGTCAAGAACCTGGCTGGAAGATTTTGAGTAAAGAGTGATAGACTGGCTAGGTGCCCGCCCTTCAGAGCTACGGGCTCCATCCCTGACTGAAGCGCCCCACCAGGCCCAAAGCCACCACTGCCCACGAAGACCCTCAGTGCCGCCCCTCGGAGCTCTGGGCCCCCTCCCTGGTTGAAGCACTCAGCCCCGCCTCAAGTTGCTGCCCCCACAGAGGCCCTCAGCACCGAGCCTCGGCGCTCCAGGCCCCCTCCCTGGCAGAAGTGCCCAGCCCTGCCTCAAGCCACCACTCCCACTGAGGTCCTCAGCACCTGCCCCTTGGAGCTACGGGCTCCATCCCTGACTGAAGCACCTCGCCTGGCCCAAAGCGACTGCTGACTGTGGAGGGTCTCCACGCCCACCCCTCAGCACCGCCCCTCGGAGCTCTGGGCTCCCTCCCTGGCTGCAGCTCCCAGCACCTCCTCAAGCTGCCACCCCTGTGGATACCCGCGGTGCCCATGCCTCAGAGCTCTGGACCCCCTTCCTGGCTGAAGCGCCCAACCCAGCCTCAAACCACTGCTGCCCACCAAGGCCCCAGGCACCTGCCGCTCGGAGCTATGGGCTCCATCCCTTACTGTAGCACCCTACCAAGCCCAAAGCCGCTGCCAGTTGGGGAGACCCTTGGTGCCACCCATCAGAACTCCAGGCCCTCTCCCTGGCTGATGTGTCCAGCCCCGCTTCAAGCCGCCACTGCCCAGGGAGGCCTGCAGCTCCCTCCCCATGGAGCTCCTGGCTCCCTTGTCAACTACACTGCCTCGCCCCCAGTCAAACTGACCACTACACTGACCAGCAACATCCAGCAGCTTCACACTTCACCTCCCCCAACTGGCCCCTGACTACAGGGAGACCAGAGAACAGCTGGAGTTTGAGACCAGGCAGAGACCTGCATTGCCCCATGAGCTCCATCCAGCACTGTGCAGCCTCCAACTTGGGACCTAAGAACAAAGAGAAAAAGAAGCCCAAGCTGCATGTGACACGTCATCCTATAGCACCCAGCTGTCTTGCACTCCACCTTCCCCAGCTGGACCTGGTTGCAGTAGAACCTGAGATCATCTGGAGCCCTATGACTAGGCAGAGACTTGCAGTGCCTCACCCACCCAGCTCTGTCCAATCTCCAATTTTGGACTAAGACCTCATATTTGTGTAGGGGAATAGTAAATCTTAAGGAGGCTGGTCAACTTGTGTGTCTGTATGATTGTATGTTCTAGTTTGTTTGTTGTTGTCACTGTTGTTTTTTTGTTTGATTGTTTTTGTTTTCTCTTATTCTTATCTGTCTTCAGGTCTAAATGCATTTATTAGTGGATACCTTTGTCTGTTTTCCCTTTTATTCTCCTCTGTCTCCACCTTCCACTTCCCCTCCTCCCTGTTCCATTTCTTTCCCTTTTCTTACATCATTTTACTTCCGGGGAGCAAACAAATACCCCCACTTCATGAACAGATTACAAGGCAGTGGGAAGCAGAATCCAGCATATTCATACACCTGTCAATGGATACTGGAATCTACATATAAATTTTGAATAACAACTCCCCCCGTCAAATAAATCTCAACACTGCAAAAGGTATAACCCACAACCTACAGTCTAGCTTCAGAATTGAACAAAGTCAGAGGTTTCATGTAAGGAAGACTAGGAGATTGAGCAGACAGAAGCAAAAGCAACCCCACCACTCCTGAACAACAGATTAAATGAAGACAGAGAAGAAAAAAAAGGAAAAAGTGGGGAAGCAAATCTACACAAATGAAGAAAAATTAAAAGAAGAATACAGGTCTCACACTGATCCCTGGGAGATAACAAACTGAGAAAACAGACTTCTGAATGCAAACAATGAAGAGCCCCCAGAATAACTGGTCACATACTACAAACCCAGATATCAAGACATTAGTAGAGAGAATAAAAAAAATGGAGAAAAGACAAAAGGAAAATAGGAAGAAGTTGATAACTGAGATAACAGCAGTAAAGAATACTGTGGATGAAATAAATAACAAACTAATAAGCATGGAAAGCAGAATTAGCCAAGCAGACAACAGAATCTCAGAACTTGAAGACCAAAATATAGAAATAAACCAAACTGTCAAAAACATAGAAAAGTTCTTAAAAACAGAACAAAACCTTAAAGATTACTTCAAGAGAGCAAACCTGAGAGTAATTTGACTTCCTGAGGCAGAAAGAGAGACAGAAACAACCCTGGAACAAACATTCTATGAAATTATTCAAGAAAACTTCCCTCACCTCATCAATGGTGCAAAAATTCAAACACAAGAGATCCAGAGAACCCCAGCAAGACAACAAATGAGAAAACCAACTCCTAGGCACATAGTAATCTGCCTGAACAAAATAGCTATAAAAGAAAAAATCCTAAAAGCAGCAAGAGAAAAAGGTCAGAATACCTACCAGGGAAGACCAATCAGAATAGCAGAAGACTTATCTACAGAAACACTTCAGGCTAGGAGAGCTTGGAGTCCAATATTCAAAGTTCTCAAAAATAAATAATTTCAACCAAGAATAAGCTACCCAGTCAAGCTAAGCTTCATCAGTGAGCGAGAATTAAAATCTTTTCCAGACCACCCCTACAAGAAACTCTTAAGAAAGTATTAAGCACAGAAGAGATGGGGGGAAAAATGTTCTTCACAAGAGTAGAGGAAAATGATTGAAAACATACATGTACCAACCCCGCCAAAACCAAAAGAAAGACAACAAACAAACAAGTACAACAACAACTGTATAAGAACATCATGACAAAGATAAACCCTCACATTTCAATAATTAGCCTGAATGCGAATGGACTAAATGCACCACTGAAAAGACATAGAATGGCAAAATGGATAAAATATCATAAGGCAACAATATATTGTCTCCAAGAGACTCGTCTCACCAGAAAGGACATTCACAGACTCAAAGGAGGCTGGGAAACAAATTTTTAAGCAAACGGACCACAAAAGAAAGTTGGTGTTGCAATCTTAATCTCAGACAAAATACCCTTTAAGCTATCAAAAATCAGAAAAGATGAAGAAGACCACTATATAATGATAAAATGTTCAATCCATCAACAAGAAATATCCATCCTAAACATATATGCACTTAATATGGGTGCACCAATGTTCATAATGCAGCTACTAGGCAAACCTAAAAAAGAGATTGACTCTAACACTATTATAGCTGGGGTCTTTAATACCCCACTCACAACACTAGACAGATCATCAAGACAAAAATCAGCAAGGACAGTCAGATCTTCAATGAGACTCTTGAACAAATGGACTTAATTGATACCTACAGAACATTCCACCCAATGATCACAAAATGTACATTCTACTCATCACCACATGGAACACAGGCCAAGAAATACCACATCAATGGCCATAAATCAATAAAATAATTCATAAGATTGAAATCTTGCCATTTACCTTTTCAGGCTACAGTGGAATAAAAACAAATATCAACACCAACAAAATTTCCCCAAAGCCCACAAAAACATGGACACTAAAGTGTATGATGCTGAACAATGACTGGGTCAGTACTGAAATCAAGAGGAAATTGAAAGATTCCTGAAAACAAATGAAAATGAAGAAACATACTACCAAAACCTCTGAAATGCCATGAGATCAGTTTTAAGAGGGGAATTTATATCTCTGTGAGCACACATAAGGAAAATGGAAAGATCACAAGTGGAGAGCCTAACAAATCTTCTAAGGGAGCTGGAAATAGGAGACCACCAAAACCCCAACTTTAGCAGAAGATTCCAAATCACAAAAATAAGAGCTCAAATATGGGACATAGAAGACAAAAATATCATAGAAAACATTAACAAAACAAAAAGCTGGTTGTTTGAAAGAATTAACAAGATTGATGGTCCCCTACCCAGGTGGACCAAGAAAAAGAGAGAAAAAGCCCAAATAAATTCAATCAGAAATACAAAAGATCAAATCACAACTGACCCTGAAAAAATACACAAGATTATCAGAGATTACTATGTACACCTATATGGAAACAAACTTGATAACCTAGATGAAATGGAAGACTTTCTGACATCACACACCTACACAAGTTGAAACAAGAAGACACTGAGAAACTAAATAGACCAATAAAAACCCAGGAAATTGACTCTGTCATACGAAACCTACCTACAAAAAATAGCGCCCTAGACCAGATGGCTTTCCAGCAGAATTCTACAAAACAAGGAAGAACTGATACCAATCTTATTGAAAGTATTCCAGGCAAGATGGAATTCTCCCCAAATCATATTATGAAGCTAACATTACA